GGTGAGATCCAAAAATGCATCAGAAACGTACACCCAACCCCTCAAATATATATTGGGTGAGATCCAGAGCTGCATCGGAAACGTACACCCCACCAACTTACATCGTCTAGTCTTGGGCCATTTGTTCCCAATTGACAAGAGAAGTGCCTTGGTACTGACAGGTATATACTTGGACATACTGATAAACAATACCATCATCCTATTGCAAAGTAACTCGGGTGTCATGGTTGTTTCCTGAGTGTCATACAAAGGCTAGTTTTACAACATCCTTGCTATTACCAATTCTAGCTATTACTATTAATAGTTGTTATTGTTACTTTTTCTGGTTGTTGTGGGATATTTCTATTAATATGCATGTATTTTAGTTATTATCTGACTATGGGGAAATCTCTACACGTTCAAGACTTTACGATAATTATTGAGTTTGTTGTTTATTGATTATGGTTCTAGTCTGCCCGATATTTGACGGACTCATTACTGGGTAGCGATAATCTATTTGTTATTATTGTGTTTCCCCTCAATTTACCCTTGAATTAAGGAATAGTTGCGTGTCCATCACACTCAGTCATTCTTGCGGTATACGATACTGCTATTTTATAACATGATTTCTTGGACATACCACTCGATGGTACACTCTTTGCATTGATCCTCCATCCATAAATATCTATTAGCACATACTGAAGATACTTGAATGCATTATGCCTGTTATGGTTATACTGGATGTAACCCACTCCTACGAGTGTCTTTGGGCCCCATTAGTCATTTTCGCTCCTCACGGACTAAGTTTTATCCTCATGGGTTATCCTTTGCTCTTACGAGACTTAAACAATTCAAATATGATCATCTAAGGTGTGTAATATCGATACTCTAGCTGTATTATTAAAACCCTAATGTCAAGTATCGATACCCCTATGAGTATCGATACCAAAAATGTATTTTGCTTAGAAATTGGGGCCTGAGTATTGATATTGCTACCCTGAGCATCGATACTGTTGGGACAATATCGATACTCACCATGGAAGTATCTATACTCCCTCTAAAAATCCTAATTTTAGCCCATACTTAACCAATATCGATATTATTCATCACATTATTAATACTTAAACCCTAAAATTGTATTTTAGGCTAAAAACACACACAAAATCATCCTAAATGACTTGGGTTGGTTCCTAAACTGATTATGAAGTTCTAGTAAGTTACTTAGGGTCCTTAGGTGCCATAAAACACTTCTTTAACACATAAATGTGATTTAATCTTGAAATCAAATATAAACCCTAAATGCTCAACTATACAAATCTTACCAAATTCTTGAAATTTATGGAAACTTAATACTTCAAAAGATTTGAAATACATTACCTTGCTGATTGAATCCAGAAATTGAGTTTATTGCTTAGCTAAAATCGTTACCTTGGGTATTTGGATGAAAACCCCAAATTTTCTCTTGTAACCATAAAACCCAATCTTGAATCTTTAAAACAATGTTGTTGGGGGTTTAATTAGAAAAAAATTTATATATAAAAAAGCCTAAAAAAATCTTACCTTTACTATGGCTTGGAGAGGAAGAAGGTGGAAGAGAGGAAGAGAAGAAAAAAATAAAGAGAATATGAAGCTGTAAAGGATATAAGGTTTTTATCTTGAAGAAAATGGGCCAATTACACTACTAGTCCTTCTTTACCTTTCTACTATGCAGAAGTCCCCTTTTTATGGCTAATTGGGTCCAACTCAATTAAGCCCAACAACTTGAATTATAATTTCTATGGGGTCCACTTACCTATGAGATAGACCCGAAACTACTAGCCCGAAATTTGGGGTGTTACATTTCCTGAAAAATATTTTATGGCAATCATTTTCCGTTGTTTGGATGATATTGTATAATTCATTTTTTTTATTGGTTGGTAAATATTTTTTAAAAATTTTCTTTATTACAAACATTGAATACAATAAATAATATTATATTATATTTTAAGGATTAAATTTTAAATATTCAACAATTCGAAAATATTAATTTTATGAAATTAATAAATATTATTATTATTATTATTAATTTATTATATATTCTTAAAATAAAATTATATATTATAATAATATAATAATAATAATAAATATTATATTATATTATTAACATTATCAATATATTATATTTAATAATTAATATTTTTATTAAAATAATATTAAAATAATATATTAATATTAAATATATATATATAAAATAATAATGTTTTGAGTGTTTATGATTTGAAGTGAAAGATCCATAAAATGACTTAGGAAAATCAGATAATAAGTTATTTTCCAGAAAAAATGTAAAGAAAATTCAGTTGATTAGGAAATTAAATTATATTGATCGTATGTTTTCCGTCAATCAAACATCAAAAGATCAAGAAAATATTTTTCGAAAAATAATTATAAGGAAACAAACAAGCCCTTAGTTTTCTAACTTTGTTTTAATAAATATAACTAGATTAGCTTTTTGCTTCTTTTTTTTTTCCTAGAAATGTGCATACAAAGTCTATGGTTATTTATTCTTTTTTATAAATTCTAAATTTGATTCTAATCTTACCTAGAGGCAGGAGATGGGGGACTCTAGGGGAAGGGAAAAGATTGCTCTTTGTGGGTCTAGAACACATGACCTATGGAAATGTGAGGGAATAAAGAGGAGCAACTTGAACATTGTTAAGATCACTTGTAGTTATTTTTATTTAATTTAAAGATGATCAAGACTGCAATTAAGTTTGAACGAGAAATAAGTCACATACCAAAAATTCATCTAAAACCAGTATAACTTTTTTGTTAATAGAGTAATTAGTTATGTTAATGGGATAGTTATTGGATCAACAAATTTGTTGTGATTTGATTGTAATGCTTTAAAATTATTGGTAATGAAATATCTTGGTAGATATAATCAAACTAAAAGAGTATTTATGTTATTTGATATTTAAAATTTGAAATTATAAAAAACACATCGTGAACAAGAGATAAATATATTAGTAATTTAATATTTAGATACCAATTTATAGGTGGGCTTAAATAGTTTTATGTTGGGGAGTGAGGACTAGAATGATGAGGAGTCAACTTAGAATCTTTTTCTAGTTAAAATAAATTGGAAGTGACGACGGGGTTTCGAATTTGGTAATAGATTTGGGTAGAGGAAAAAAAGTTGAGATGAATGGAATGTGTTATTTATTTTTATTTATTTATATATTTTTAAAATTTTAACAAAGTATTATATATATATATATATATATATATTAAAATACATTTTTTATAAATTTAAATATGTCAAAATATTAAAAATAAATTATGTAACAAGAGTAATTTAGTAGGATATACTCTAAGGTAATGTTAAATCCCCTCAGCTAAACAACATATTCCTAAAATTTGTTAATTTAACGGAATAAGAAATGAAAGATTTTTCATAATTACATTTCTAATGTTATATTTTATAATTTAATTTTCAATAATAATCTAATATCTTGTAAATCCAATGTATGGGTGTGTGTGTGTGGCATGTATTTACATTTTTTTCGTGAAAACAAATTCCTTAATATCACGAAATATTTCAATTTGTCGCTCCTAATTCTTAATTTACCTTAAAATGACACGCGTGCAATTTTCGAACATCGATGAAAAGTTATCTTTCAAGTTTAAATTTTTTCAAGGTAACATATGTCACAGACAGCAATATCAAACTGAGATTTTTTTTACTATTACAAGTAGAGGTGTTTAAGCGATTAAAACGGCTACCGACTGAATTGAATTAACATTATTCGAATTAACGAAATTATTTTTCTTTAACCGTTAACATCCAATTTTTTTTGAAAATATTAACCGAACCGAATAAATTTTGGTTATCTCGGTCGGTTAACCGAATTAACTGAGCTTTTTTTATATTTTTTTCTAATTAAATTAATTTGAATATAGTAGAAGTATTTTTTAAATTTTGGGTTGAAATTTAATTAGGTATTAATAATTTAACGAGTCTAATGTGGTTAAAATATTATCGGATCTTAATTTTTAACGGATTTGAGCTTAAAATATATATTTAATATATATAATATATTTAATATTTAATAATTCCGGTTAATTTAATTAATTAATCGATCTCTAAAATTAACCTTTAACTGAATATGGGGGAAATTAACCATTCACCGACCGAACTAATTTGGTGGCCGACCGAATTAACCGAACTAATTCGATTCGGTCGGTTAATCCAGTTAAAACCAGAAAACGAACACCCCTAATTACAAGGACTTGCATGAAGATCCATCCCTTTAAAACGTTGGTTTTGCATAATATTTTCCTAAATTCTACATAATTCAAGATTGTGAATACTCCAAACCCATCAAACGCTCTAAGTGATTTAAGGAAATGTTATTATCTCTTGAAGTCGTAGATTCGAACAATTATGTCTATAGAGAATGTTTAGGTTATATTTATTGTTCAAAGGGACAAAAGACTTTAAAAACAAAATCTATAAGAACTTAAGAAATGTTCCTAAAACCATTATTTATTAGGTCTGGACAAATACGTTATAAGGGTATGAGAGCTATTAGTCACTTTTAACCACATGGGGTAAGCTTTTTATTGCCTGCTCCTCGAGGATTCTCATCTTTCCAGTCATCCCATGCTCTTGCTTTCTCTTGGACAGCAGCCTCATCTTCATTTGGTCCCATCTTTGGTTTGTCCTTGTACCATGCTGAGTTGGCTTCTTCAAACATTTTCGCATTCCTCGCCTGCCACTAATTCATTATTCCCATCAAACCAGCTTCCTCGATACTCATTGTTGGCATTCTACAGGATAAATTGATTACCAGCTGAAAACAAAAAATACAAAAAACACTAGTTTTCCTCATAAATAACTAGAATCACTATGTTGCCGATATCACATGTATATGTTGGCATAACTTGGCAAAATGAAAATAATCTTATGCTGAAATCTCTCTTTCCATCTCTGACAATAAAACAGATCATTGTGGTCCAAAGTTGTATTTCAGGACAGGGATTTACCTATAAGCAGGTTGGAAAACCTGTGCTGCCATCCTTTCCCTCTCACTTGTTAGGCTTCCGCATATAAGACTTTGTGGTCCAAAGATCATTGGCTGGTGTTCGTGGTCATGTGCCTGCGAAACATTTTCCCTTCCTTCTATAACATCTTGAGCAAATGTAGCACATGTGATAGGTGCTGCAGGTTGTGTATAACGTGAACGAGCTGCAGCATCACGATGCCATGCCTCTGCTTTCTTGGTACGATCATCAAGGATAGCCTCAGAAAATTCCCTTTCCCCTTCCTGAAAAGCAAGGAAGATGAAACTGGTTCATTAAAAATCCTGTCTAAATTTGAGTATAAATATAAAGCAATTTGATGATTCCTTTAGATAAAACTATTTACTTTCTGAAACTTAAAAAAGAAAAACTATTATCTTTTCCAGCACAAGCTACCAAAAAGTTGGCTACTACTGAATTGGCCAAAGCAATGCACAAGAAATTCAGCATTCCACCGATTAGTCATAGATTGTATCAAGTCATGGTTAGGCAGAAAGGCAAAAAAAAAGATTACAGAAGATCTTTGAACGTTTATAGGTTGAACAACAATGTCATGTTTCAGACGATTTAGTTAGAGATTTCTGAAAATTTATTGAAGAATTTCCAATTTGCTCCATTGTTAATGGTCTGTTGGCCATGCAGCAGCCCTAAGCACGAACTTAAGGCTATGAGAACTTAACAGGGGTGAATGATTAATGTATTTATCACAAAAGTTGAGTAACCAATATCCAAACTGGTAGTATTGTTAGGTATGGCTCATAAATATACCAGTAAGCACGGTACAGGGTTGATTTTGTAATTATGTACCAGGGTTTTCTATTATAAATAGAGATGTAACCTCGACCTAAAAAATCATTGAATAAAAACTTCTAGCGCCGCCTAGGCACCGAGGACGTAAGCACATTGCCGAACCTCGTAAAATTCTCGTGTTCTTTTGTTTTCTTTACCCGTTTTCGTCAACAAGTATCAAGTATCAATCTTGGCATTCTATGTTTAGATGTATTTCTTAGTCTTCATATCATAAAGTTTTTAATTTGAGTAATGATTTACATCTCCTAACTGGGGTGCATAGCGCCAATCTTCCAGTAGTTTACTCAAAGCTTTAAATCTTCTTGTAGCGGAAACATTCAACACGACTCATAAACAATAGGTTCAGAAGGCAGATACATTTTCTGGAAAAAAGTTGAGCTTTAGTTCATTTACACAGAATAATACCTTTAGCTGTTTCTCCTTTATAGAAGAAAGCATTTCTTCTTCCTTCTTCAGCATTTCGAGCAGATCAAAATCCTTCAATTGTAGTAACATGCAATGAAGTTATTGCTAAGAAAAAACATTAAAGCTTTACATGGCAGATTTTATTGAAATGTAATGTAAAACTAACGTTACAAATAGCCAACGAGATAGTAGTAACCCAGGCCTGCACAAGGAAAATGTTATTCTTTAAGATATACCAGTAAGTTTTGTCAAACAAAGAAGTACGGCTAATATCTTCAATAATAAGCATCAGGTATGTCATCTCAGTTTCAGAGCTTTGAATTCGAAAAGGTTAACCTTTGAATGTTTTATTGATTTCTGAAAAATGGGAACCCCTTTTTACAAATCTCTGATTTTTTGAGAGGAAAGAAAAAATATGAAAAATTTAAGTCCTTACAATATGATTTTTTGGGGTTTTATATCTCATTTTTTACATGCATAAATTGCTGATTTGGTGGCCATATTTGGCGTGTAACCAGGCTGGTTATGGTGTGTGCAGCATGGGTAAGGGCTGCTGCTTCAGGTGGGAGTGGTGGTAAGGCATGGTGGTGCTACAGGGTATGGCTGGAGCAAGGATGGTAGGGATTTGGTGTAGTTGAAATGTTGGTGGTGGCAACACAAAAACAGTGATTACAGCTACTTCTCTTTGCTCATTGTTTTGGAACAGAAATGGAGCAAAGATTTAAAGCACCATTTTTGTCTCGAATTGCATGAATTCCTGAGCTACAAGTTCTTCTTATTATGAACCATTCTATTGAAAATGTTGATCCATCTTCTTCTGCAATTGATTAGAAATGAAATCTTCTTCTTCAACATGTGTTTGTGCAATGAAACTCTACTAACTCTTCAAATTCCTATCTAATATTCAACATTTGAGTGAAAACAAATGACTGAAAAGAAATTTGTTTCAAGATATGTTATCTTAGGTGAAACAAAATTTTGTTTTGAGTGAAATAATCTCAAAGGTTTATATGTTTGAAGAGAAACTGTCTCAAGCGAGACAAAACTTTGTTTCGAGAGAAACAATATCAAAGGTTTATGTTATAAGAGATATTGTCTTAAGAGAGACGAAACTTTGTTTTGAGAGAAACAATCTCAAAGGTTTATGTTTCAAGATAAACTTTCTCAAGCGAGACAAAACTTTGTTTCGAGAGAAACAATCTCAAAGGTTTATGTTTCAAGAGAAATTGTCTCAAGCGAGACAAAATTTGTTTCAAGAGAAACTATCTCAAGGGATACAAACAATATGCTCCTTCATGTGAAGGAGATCTAGTTTCCTTTAGAATATCTGATCATTCACTTCAGGATGTCAAATATGTGGACGATGTTGTTCCTTCATGTTGAGGACCTCTAGTCATCAACAAACATTTCTTTCCTGAAAGATCTATAAAAAGATGCATTTATGTATGTCTATCTTGGATGTTTCTATGGATGTCAAGATGAAGTTTATTTCATGTATTTGATTTGAGTTTTATTTTAATAAAAATTACTTTTTGAATTTTTCTTCATGAGAGGAGAAATTGATCTTGAGAAAGGAAAATTAGATGATGTCCTCGTGAGAGGAGAAAAATGGCCTTTAAGAAAAATGAAATAAGGATTTTTGGGAAAAACAGTCTTAATAAAGTCTAGATTGATGTTCTTAGACGAACAATCTTGAGAAAAACGAAATTAGTTTCTCAAAAGAGATTATAAAGGCATCCTCATGAGAGGGGGAAAAAGTTTTATTGCATGCGGTGATGAATGTATGATGCAAAGGTGCAAATTTATGTGATGTGTATGTTTTTGTTGATGCATTCTTTCTTGATCAATATCCAGTAATAGACGCACGAACAGTTTTCATTCTCTTCCTGATTCGGTTGTCTTCATTTTCCACCAGGGTGTACTCTTGCAAACTTCGACCTGTGACAATTTGTTTATCTTGCCCTGTAAAATTTTGCCCCAAAAAATTTCGGCTTCCTTTGCCCCAACTTCGATTATGAACTTCTATGTCCGAGATATATTTGTTGAATTCCAAGATACACTTTCAGAGAGATTATCTTGTTTGAAAATGTTTTTATTCCTTTGAAAAGTTCGATGAAGAAATTTTGAAAAATATGTGAATTTTTTATTGTTGAAGAAACTAAAATAATGCCCCATCTTTGGGCTCACAATTGAAGTAGATCACAAAACATTAGTTCATTGAGTATCAAAAGAATCAACTACTATTTTAATCTTTCATAGTTACAAACTTTGACAAATGTAAGGAATGACAGGTTTGTTTTGAGGTTAGCTACTTAAATTTTGAGGTTTGTTTCATCAATTCGTCTATTTTCTTTTTCTTGGTCCTTGTGAATAATATGACATGCCCCTTTTTCTTGGCTTGGTATTTTAATCAGATGCGGACAAAATGACACAACCAGCATAGTCAATTGCTAAATTTTTTAGAATATTTCTATTTTGGTTCTCTAAAATCTTCCATTTGTTCAAGCTTCATAGACTCATTTAGTAAAGTCAGTGCAGAAATATCGGTCTAAAAACATAATTCTTGAGTGCTTATGTGAAGTTGACTATAATAGATGTTTCTCAATTCCCTTAGTCCATCGTCTACCGACACTCCTTATTAATTCGAACCTTAAACTTTTTCGTTTCCTTGAATTGTATTGATTTAATTTAGTTTTCCATTATTTTGGCATAGCTGATGGATTCATCTAGTCACTTGACAACCACAATGGAGCAAAGACCGAACTGCCAGGTATTCGATCAATGTAATGATTTGAATATAATTTATTCATAAAGCTAGGGCTTTTGAGTTATCTCTCTAACCAATTGCTTTAGCGGGATAGCTCCAGTTTTATTGCATTTACCTTATAAAAATATTTCATTAACTTTTTGGGTATAAGGATTCAAGATTTCTTAAGGAGAAAATCGCCTCAGTGACCAAAAATGCCTTATAATATACAATTTTAACCAACTTTTTTTAAATTTGCCAAAATGACTAACTAAATCGCAATGCGATCGATAATTCGCAACGCGATCTCCGGTATCGCAAATCAGTTTCCAGATTCGCAACGCGATTCTGACTATCGCATTGCGATTTCCCAAATTCGCGTTGCGATTTTCCTAATTCGCAATGCGAATACGTAAATCGCAACGCGATTACGTAAATCGCAATGCTATTACGTAAATCGCAATGCTATTACGTAAATCGCAATGCGAATACGTAAATCGCAATGCGAATTAGGAAAATCGCAATGCGAATCTGACTATCGCAATGCGATTTACATAGCGCCATTCGTATTAACGTGTATTTTTTTTTCAAATTCCAAACACGAATATATTAATATATCAGAAACTGAACCGTCCGCAGTATATCCCGTAATCACAACTCAGTCCCATCTCCATTTCTCACTCTCTACGGTAAAATCCATCCCCATCTCTAAAGATTTCCGTCCCCATCTCCGGCGAAATCCCTCACAACCATTCATGGTCAGAAATCCCTCACAAACATTCATAAATGGAAAATCAACCTCCGAGGGTTAGTTTTTTTAATTATTTTTTATTTTGAAATTTTTGCATTATTTTAGGTTTTTCATATTGAAATTGATGATAAGTTTACTAGTAATTTCAATAATAGATTAACCATTTCACTTAGATTTCTTATTTAATTCATTCGATTGCTGCCAATACTGCTAAACTGTTTAGTCTTTAACCCTGTGAAGTTAGTATTTATCTTTGTTTTGTCTTTTGGTTGAAGTAATGCAGAAGAAGAATAGTTTCTAAACTTAAAATCGTAACATGAAAATGAAAATCGCAACACGAAAATGACTATCGCAACGAGAGAAATGAAAATCGCAACGAGAGAATCGCAACGCGAATGAAAATCGCAACGAGATAATCGCAACGCGAAACCAAAATCGCATTGCGATTTGTATTTCGCGTTACGATTCTCTCGTTGCGATTTTCATTTCACGTTGCGATTCTCTCGTTGCGATTTTCATTTCTCTCGTTGCGATAATCATTTTCGTGTTGCGATTTTCATTTCCGCGTTGCGATAGTCATTCTCTCGTTGCGATTTTTATTTCAACCAAAAGACAAAATAGTGTTGCAAATTTTAGTTTCAAGAATAAACTACTACTCTTTATGTTTATTGTTTTTGGTATATCTTCACAGTGTAGTTTTTGGTATATCTAACTTGGTATGTTTATTGTTTTTGTAGAAATTTTTTTCGGCTTCATTGACATTAAGGAATAAAGTTAGCCTAGCCACTACAATTGCTTCGAAGCTTTCACCTGCACCAAGAAAATTGTTTGAGGAAACCTGCTTCGGGCCATGGCTGAGAGTACAGCATCCGGGTGGAGATGCTAATTTGACTCATTTGTGGCTTCAGACCATGACTAGCGATCTACCCGACAGTATACAACGTGGTGAGGAAGAGATATGGTTTCATTTTCCACCGGCGTATACTTGTTTTGGGCGGAAGGAGTTCTGCTTAATCACTGGTCTACGATTCAGACACGATGATGTAGGCCGATACACTCGTCATATCACCCGCCCATCATGGTTATCCAGGGTTTTTCCTGATGAGTCAATAGAGAAGCCGAACTTACACGTCGACGACCTGAAGAAATTGTTTAATAAGAAAGATGGTTTTACTCGGATGAATGACGTCGATGTTGTCTGAGTATGCCTTCTAGTACTTTTGTATGCCGAATTTTTAGGCAAAGAGGCCAGACAACCTATTCCTCAGGAGCTAATATTATTGGTAGAGGACCTAAATGCATGGAATCTGTTTCCGTAGGGTTCGTATATATGGAAAGCTACCTGGACTAAGTTGTCGTCTGCCTTTGATGACCGCAAAAGTTTACGTGGTGATGGGTCGAAATACACTTTGTCAGGCTTTGTTTGGGCCTTTAAGGTAAGAATTTCTATATAATGTTTTCAAAATTATAATTAATTATTTAATAATTACTAATGTTTGTTATTATATTGTTTGTAGATTTGGATATTCGAGGCTTTCCCCAGCATGCAGACATATGCATTAAAAACTTCAAATGATATTCCTAGGGCTATTTCTTGGAAGAGGAAACATTTGTTGGATTGGGAAGACTTAATACCATACGCGACAATAAATAATGTAAGTTAACACAAATACCAGATGTTTTCCATTTCATACAACTACACGTCTTTGCATTTAGATCGACAAGCCCATTTAAGTTATTATCCAGTACTTCAAACAAAGTGTTTGAACATGGTTCAACTCTCCATGACGTTGACTTCACAACACGTTTCGTTA